GTTATAGATTTTGCGAAATTCTAAGTGCAATATTTCAAGAGAGCCTTAAGCTTTAAGCTTTAAGCTTATTACGTATTCTAAGAGATGAATATTCGATAAGCTTAGGTTGAAAATTTACCAATCTGAAGAGGCGCTATAGGCCGAAGAAAAGCCATTTTGCCGTATTAAAATCATGTAAGTTTGAATATTTGTAATGTTCAAAATGTTAAGCGTCTCTCAATTTGTATACTTCGACACATGAGCTTTAAGTAAATTATTCTTCAATGTCTCACATAATCGCTGATTAATTAATGAAAAATTTTAACTAACAATAATTGTAATTAGTATTTAATAAATTAATCGATTAATATGCAAAATTTTCAATTTCAAAATTCAAATTGCCACATCAACAATTTTTTGATATACATATTTTTAAAACATTGATTACATATATAAATTACATTAAATATATATATATATATAAATTATTTTAAACATCGATTTATGATGATTTTTTTTTCTTTGTTCATTAAAACTACCCATTCGTTAAAAATTAATTATGTTTCATTACAGTTAGTTTTATATTTTATTTTATTCAATCATAATTATATTTTATTCTAAAATTCAGAAAGAATGTATACCATATGTGTGTATATATATATATATATCATTTACTGTTTGTATTTGATTGTTAAATATATAATAATGCAATTGCGAGAAACCAAATCAATCAATCTCTCTTATCAATAATCTCCTAGACATATTTGATTCGTGAACTATTAATTTACCACATTGTAGAGATTATATATATTTCAATTAAAAATTCATTTTAGACAAAGATATATTTGTCTTTATTAAACGAATAAAAATAATCAAGTTTATTACAATAAATTAATATGTCTTAGTAGAGATATTGTTATTTAATGGCAGTCTATTCCATATGTAATAGATAAATTTACAAAAAATAATAATATTTTGTATCTTGCTTGTAAAAGTATAATATATGAAGCAAAAATCTAGATCAATAAAAAACGAACAAAAAAAAAAAAGGTAAAATAATTACGTGTTTTTTATTATTAAATTAATCAAGCATAATCCAGTTTTTGCGATTTGCCTAATTAATTCAATATTATTAGCAATGTTAATATTAATATTATAAATTCTGAAAAACATTATTTATTATTATTTGATATAGCATTATAATATTTATTAATCACAAAATTAAATATTTATTTCATGCATAATTTGTTCTTACAATTTATATGAAAGATAATTTCTTAGGCACAAATACGTATAAATCTTAGAGCAAACTTTTATCTCAAATTGTTTTTGTAGTGCATAAAAAGGAAAAAAATAGCAGCACGGTAATGTAGTGTTATTATTGTAATAAATGAATAAGATTTATTAAAATTGATAAACATATTTCAATATTATTGTTTAATAAAAAAAACAAAACATAAGTAACGAAGAGAAACATAACGAATAAGCGTGCAAGTATGCGTAGACGATCGAAATTGTATTGTGTAGATAAAATGAAGGCACATCATACGTCAAATAAATAATAGCGAGTACACAAATACACGTACGTATGAGGTAGTGACGGAAATCCAAAAAGGAAGCCGCACGTGTAAAGAGGGTATAGAGTCGAACAGCTTATATGTTGTATCGTGGCCATTGTCAAAGCCACTCGTGTCAGAAAATGAGCGGAAAGCTCTGCTACGCGAGTCACCGGTGTACATTTCCTTCCAGCTTCGTGCCGTATAACACGATATTTTCTAAAGTTGTCGTGTATTTTTTCTTTTTTTTTTTCTTTTTTTTTCTTTTTCCTTTTCTTTTCAAAATTCTTCTTTCCGATCAATTTTCTGGCTTAATCGGCAACAATTGAACGCAAGACAGTTGAGTGACACATAAACTTTACTCAGAAGCCATTGTGATTAATGCATAGGCCATATTGAGCATGTGTTTTGCTGTCTTATAACTTGAAAAGTAGGCCAAGTTTATCGAAGGTATAAATTAAATGTTTAAACTTAATACTAAAAACATTCGTCAATTTATATTATTATATATCCGGTTTCTTATTGTAGTTTTTTCTCTGCTCAGTGTACCTAAAGAAACTAAATGCCAATGGATTTAACGCGTTACGAATCACATTAAATAATAATAATAGTTGCATTACGTTGTCAAATGTATGAATAACTATTTCTAATACAATAACAAATATATAAGTAAAATATATATTGTCATAATATAACTTTGTGTTTCTTCAAGAATTATCACAGTTTGCATAAGTAATGATTTTATTGCTTTGTTAAGGCCCGTTAATTAAGTCAATCTAGAAGGTTTATGATTTTTAAACAGATAATTTACACATTAAACATTTACTAATTAGATTATGCATAATTTATATTTATATTACATTCTATTTCTCCATCGAGAGAATAGTTAAATTTCAAAACTTGGTAAATAATTATTTTACTGAGATTTAAAATGTTTTATAAATGCAATAGTATTTCATAAATAAACACAAAAAGCCCCGTAAATTGAAATTATTTTACTTTATAATAGTATGTTTATTTCTTCAATTCAAAAAATTATTTCACATAAATAATTGTAAATTATTGTAAATTTTAGGTAATTAATTTAAAAATTTATCTATACTCGTAGACTTTAATGAATCATGTGAGCTAATATAATTCTTGTTACAACAAATATTATATAAAAGTGTAATTTCACATTATAATTTATGAATAACTACAATGAGTTTTAATCATTCTACGTACAAATATGAAAATTATAATAAAAATCAACTGTAAATGATTCTGTGGATAATATTGAAAAGTATTAATGCGCCTTTATATCTATGTATTTTTGCATAGATTGAATAAAATTAATTTTTTTTACAATATATAATTTTAACAAAGAAAGTAGTAGAATAATGAACGGTTTGTATAAATTTGTTACAATTTGAAAAAGGTACATTAATGTATTAAAATGATAACTGAAAACATTAACTAAACACCAACTAAATATTTCAATATATATTACATGGTTGTTATAAGTATTATTTTGCTAAATAAATAATTATTTCGTATTTCTTCTTCAAAATAAGATTTTTAAAAAGTCTTATATACAATTCGTGTATGTGGCTCAAAAATATTGATTTGTAGGTGACCCGAAAAAATTGTATATTATTAAGAAAAATCATTGTACACATATAAATACAGTTATATACTAATGGTAGTACTCTGCTCGTGTGTGAATGAAATAATATTTGCTTTGATGTTATCTAGCTATTGGATTTCTTTATATATACATATTTATATCAGATCCTATTGGAATTATTTGATGATATATAACTTTGTATTAAACATTTGTAAAATATTGTAGATCAAAACCAATAAGTTTTATTTGTCAAATGAATAAATAAATATTTAATTAAATGGGAATCGTAAATAATTTAAAATATTAATTTACAAAAGCATTCAAATTGTAAACAAAGAAATACATTTGATTCTTTGATTATTGTTTGTATAAATTCCTTTTTTTTTTTTCTTTTTTTTTTTTTTATCAGGTATTAAATATTTTAACTAAATAAGACAAACTAATACGTTACTAATATTTCGATATTTCTATGATTCCTAATTGATAAAAAAATGATTTTTTACACTACGATATTAATAAAATTTAAATGCAAAAAGTTTTAATCAAGTCACAGAATTATTTCATGAAACAATGAGTATTTAGAATAGAATTAGCCCATTTTCTATTTGTATTTATATTTAAATATACTCATATAGACTTCAAATGAAAAGCATTTTATTTGAATAATAATTTGTGATTAATTGTGTGTGCTAATTGCTAAGCCTTTATGTATTAGCTTAATTGCACTATAAATATTTTAAAACCAATAGGGAAAAGTTTTAAGAAAATTCTTTAAAAATCTTTGGTTCTATAACTTTATAAATGTTTTTTTCTGACAATCTAAATTTACTAAATAATTTAATACAATTATCACAAATTTATTAATATCGAAAAGTAATTTATTAATTAATTTCGTAAATAAATAAATATAGAATATTCTTCTTTAAAAGATGATTCAATTAGTCTAATAGAAACCCCTATTATTAATTAATTCATACAAACGCATATATATATATATATATATATATATATATATATATATATATATATTATATGTACATATATACGCACGCTGCGTGTGCGTATGTGTGTACGTGTGTAATCTTTAATCTTTATTAACAGCTAATAATTATACATGGAAAAGTTGCATCCTTATTTGGTGTATTGTTAATTAAAATTTTTTCAAATATATAGAAAATGTTTATTAAGAGAAGATAAAAAGTTTATGTAAAAATTATTGAAATGAAAATTTTTTCTCTATTATAAATATATGCGCAATAATGTGCTTCTATAGAATGCAATCTCTATAATACTTTTAGGGATATTAATAAATCAATAATTTGAATAGCATCTACATTAAATTAGCTCTTTTAGATTACCTTCATTATCATCTAACATTAAATGTAAATTTTTATTAAGAAAATGCTGCGCAAACAAAGACATTAAAAAAATATAAAGTACCGTATTTGAACTCTTTATCCCCACTCACTTATGGTTCAAAATACTACGTCTAGTCTAAATAAAATGCATTTAAAACTTAAATATAATTATCAACATTCTACTATTACTGCATTATTATTATTCATGAACTTTTACGAAAATTCCTAACTTTTTTTTCTTTTTTTTTTTTTGTTTTCTTTATTAGTATATGATTTTATAGGTTAAAAGTCAAACTAGCGTGAGTTACAATAAGAGAGTGGAAATTTTGAAGAATATAATATGATGGAAGGAGTCGTAGGCTACTGCGCACAATAATGATCGACAAATTATCATACCATACGATGTATAAGGCCATATAAGTGTAAGGAGGGAGAGTCACTTGTTGGATCATCTACATTATTTAGCTAAAAATCGCGACTTTCAGACACGATTATAGTTATTATAGAATTTCATCCCAAACAGATCGGCCGCGAACATGATGAGGCCGCAACGTCTAATCGGTCTTACTGCCTGAGTCGCTGACCCCGATAATGATGCACGCATAGTCAGTCGCTCACTGATGATCCCAGAACCGATGGACATCCCGGCTTTCCCGGCGCCACCATCCTTTCTCAGTGTCTCGGTCTCGCGCTCCTTACCACCGGATGGCCAAGCGATGCGCCGGCGCAGCTTCGAGTTCCCCAGACGGAGGCCGCGCTCGGCGAGTTGGCTTCCGACCCGGAGGCACACACGTCGCTGCCGCGAACGAACCAACCACGTCCAGCCGTTGGGTGCGAGAATCGCGCCCAGACTTCACCGATCACCCCGATCCCAGAAACCCGGGCCCGGATTTCGCATGGCTGCCGAGGACGAAGGTCACCGGGACGGGGAGCCGACCGGCGGACACGCGGACATGCCCAACCGAACAACCAGGTAAGACTCTCCGCGGCACGAGCATCGTCGGTCTCGGCCTTGGCGCACCTCCGGCTGCTCGCGACCCAGGACCTCGAATAGGAACGTGACATCTTACGTTTGCTAGGCCACAGTCATGCATGCGCACGCGATTTACACACACGCGCGCGCGCGTAAACATAGTCTGTCAATACACGAGACTGAAGAGATATCGATGCTAAAATATAAAATTCATAGCGCTGGAGCTTGACCTGCACGCTAACTAAACCAGCTCCTTCCATACTAACCGGTACTACTCTTCACACCTGGGCAGATAATATTACTCAATGGTTTTGAAAGCGAAGTAATTCTTCGATTTCGCGTATCACCGCGTTGAGAAATAAGGAGCAAAAATGAAATGAGATAATATTATCCGTCTTGAGTACGGAGAATAGCGTGGCCTAAGTTAACAGAGTTGTTTACTAAGTCCATGTGGATCCACAATGTTGAGATTCGAACTCTTTCATCGTGGATACGTCGTTTCATGCTCTAACCAGCCAATTTGCAATACATTGTTGCTTTTTGGTTAACTCGAGCTATTTGCTCAAATCGAAAAATCAAATGTACTTGCACGCGTTGCTTTGCGTTTTGGGCAAGTTCGACATAATAATTATACAAGCAGTGGTCTCGATGTCGTGCTAATCTTCGAAATCAGCATGCATTGTTTAAAAAATGAATAAATAATATAAGTACTCGATAAATACACTAAACTGAAATTAGTATCGTAAGTGATCATTGACAAGCAAAAATAATTATATATAGATTTCAATGTTGCAAGGATTATATTACTTTTATTGAAACGATCTTTGCAAATAATGAATATTTTACTCAACAATAGCATAACGGTTATTTCATCATTTACTATTACAAGCTTCATTTGCAAATATGCCGTTTTAATGATAAAACCTAAAGATTTATACCAAAAAGTTCACGAATACCTCTTCTGATTAAGAGATCGGTGAATTTAATACCCTTGATCATCCATCGATTATATATTAATTAAAAAAAACATTTTCATCGTGTACATTCTACTTGGTCTCATAATTGTATTAGTCCATATAAATTAACTTAGATTTAATCAATCTTTTTTTATTATATAAACGAAATTTAAATTTTATAAATATGCAAGAGTTCTTATTATTTATTTACTCGTACTTTAATGTAAACACACATTTTAATTAATATTTATTTTACGGCTAATTAATACAAAGAATATCTAAAAATTGAATAATTTCAGCACAATATTTTAATCATTTTTCTAAACTCTTGTTACTGCAGTGAGGCGAATGTATAAATGTAAATTTTTATTTTCATCATTTACCGGATGAAAAGTAACGATACGTCTATCGAGCAAAGCGAAAATATTATTTAAGCGTCTGATAAATGTTTTAATAAGAAGCTAGTAATAATTTCCTCTTGAGAACACTATAATAATCAATTTTAAAACAATAATATTCAACTTATTCAAAGAAATGCTTCATTAATATCCTAAATATGTTAACATCATTTAATATAAATGATTATTACGAGCATTTTTCAGCTTATAACTGTTCATTATCTATCTATCTAACTAATCCATGTAAATTGATGTAAAATATGTAAATAGACGATAAATTATAAATAATAATTATATATTACACATATAAGTACTAATATACTTCATTCCTTAATGTACACTTACTCTTTCAAAAGCAATTCTATCAATCATTTATTAAAGCATAGAATATACTTTTTAAATAAAGTAACAGACATATTTTGTATATTAAACAGATTATAATTATGTAATATCATATAAAGTAATAAAATTAACAAAATATTGAACGGTATCAAATTTTGTAAATAATCGAATAAAGACAGAATAAATGATAATGCTAATTAAACGATTATTTACTTATTTTTCTATTAAAGTAAATGTTAATTAAATATTCTGTTTAAAAATTCTTCGATATATATATATATATATATATATATATATATATATATAACTAATTCGTGTTTCATATATTTGTTAAGTAATGCATTACTATGTAAATTCAGTAAATAAAATGCATATTTTAACTCAAAAAATTGACGTCTCAAAACTTCACAACCCGTTGAAATAACAAAATGCATGATGATATGTGGTAGCTTGGATCGATAAAAAAATTAATAGATTAATGGTCAATATAAGGTTTGACATTCTTCTGTGCATGTATGATTTCATTAACAACGTATGCTGATCACTTATTAGATAAAAGTTAATTTCAAATTAGCACGTAATGTAAATCAATAGAGCGATCGAATTTATGTAAATTAAATGTTAAAATTTAAATTTACTAATATTAGTCAGAAAAATGCTTAATACCTTCGTTTAATAGTAATCGTAACCGATATTAGTAGCCTCATACTTTAAGGCTTTGGAATATCAACTCACTTACCTTATACAATATTATAAATAATATTTTCAGAAATATTGAATATTACTTGTTTTAAAATGCATATACAATTAGTTATTATTATTTCTAAATAAATTTTAGAACATTAAATTAAATTAGTTTTTATATAGTTATAATATCTATTTACATGATTTTGTCAGGTCAGTTACACGATTACGATAGAATAACCGGAAATAACAAAGAAAGAATTATTAACATTAAAACAGGGATAATAGATGTTCAAGGATAATCAAAGAGAATCAGGTGGATGAATCTGACATCATTTGCTGTGAAACTACCGAAGGTAAACACTTTTTACTACACATGTTGCACATAAAATACTTCACATTAGTAGTTCTTGCTTTAGCAAAACAATTTTTACATACATGCACGAGTGTACTTGTACCTTAGAATTGCAATTAAACAGAACAAAAAAGTGAATGCAATAATAGTTTCCTCTTATTATAAGAAAACATAAGATAAACTTTAGCTTATTTAAAAAGTCGTAGATTACAATAATCGTCGTTTCGATAAAACTAAGATTAAACTAACAAATTGATTATTGATAGAGAGATTCGACATTGATGAGCATCGTGGTATATCAAATAACTGGATTTATAAACAAAGAGAATATGTATCTCATAAACGGGTATTGTCTATTAAAGACAGATACCAAATACAATAAAATATAATTTATTCGCAAGAGAAAGTTTTTTACCTGGAAAATATTATTTCAATGTACAATATACTATTAGCGCTAACGTGACAATATGTTAAATAAAAAATAAATGGATATTTCATTCAATGTCCTTATTGTCAAGACCTTATTTTCAAAGATCAATGTAAACCATTTATTGTTCCTAAAATATGTGAAATTTAAGGCAACATCTTCGGGAGTTAGAGCAAGAATAATCCTTTTGATATATATATATATATATATATATACACACAAATACATTTTCAATTACAAAATTATCGAACATAAAACGCATCATGATAATAGTGGTTCTTATGCACACCACATTCGAATTTAGCTGGCCTCGTTTCATTGAACACGTGAGTCGTGTATTTCAGCATAATTGTCGACTTGTGTGAATGTTTACATTTTAATTTAAAAACCTTTTTATGAAGTATAAGCATAACAAATAATAAAATCCATTACACATATACTCTTAATAAAAATAAAGTACTAATATACTACGTAATTTCAGCCTTGTATGTGAATTTCAATTTTTGATAAAATTGTAGAAAAAAAAACAAAATAAATATTAATATCTTATTTCTTATTAAAATATATGCAAATATTTAGACAAATTGCAAATACTTTACTTCATTTATTCCAATTGCAGTTTATTCATTAATAAAAACGTTATAATTTTTAGTATTTTATATTAACAAACGATTTTGCAGAATTGAATAATATATTGTAAAAAAAAAAATATTCTTTTATAACATATTTCAAACTATTTTTTAAAACTACTTATTGACTATTGATTTTTTTTTTTTTTTATTTACTTATTTATTATTATTTTCTTTTTTTGTCTTCTAATAATATTATCTAAATGTTTATTCAATACTATGTTATGTTTTATTAAATAAACGAAGAAAATAAAAATTCAAAAGAAAAATGCGTGAAAGTTATACAGGACATAAATAATCAAATTATGTCAGAAACAATTGGCTTTCTATGTTTCTTCTGTCGACGAATTGTTCAAATAATTATTAAGGAGTATCAAGTCTAATGTAGATTACTGAGTAAACTCTTAATTCTTAATCAACACATTGTGACTAACTACTTCCGTTACAAATGTACTTTTTTTTTTTTTTTTTTTTTTTTTTTTTTTTTTTGTTTTCTTTTTTCAATTAATCACATGATACTAATGTTAACATAAATTACATCTACTGATATAGAAAAAATCGATGTCTATTTTTTTTTAAATAAATCCTCTTCGAATAAAACTCAAGTCTTCAAATCTTCAAACTTCATAAATTTTAATTTGTAAACTTATTTTTAAGTAAAATTATATTTATATACTTTTGCAATAAAATATATATGAAAAAATCTCTTTATTGATAAATGACAAAATTATCTAACAATTATTTATTTATAAAGTTTATATTTAATATTATTATTTAAATAAAATATACTTAAAATAAAATTTATTTTCAATATTTGCTTTAAAAAAAAAAAAAAATGCTATTTATATATAATGTATTGACGCACTCCTCTGATTTTAATTGATTGTTAATTGATTTTATAAAAAAAAATTCACTAATATTAATAATTGAGCATATTAATTCTATTAGTAATCTTACAAGAAACATACGATATATATGTTGAATAATTGTCACATATACTCCAAGAATATTATTAAACACATGTATTTTCAATTTGTTAGATAAAAATAATAAGCAGGTTATAAGTAGATTATGTATATAGCAAAAAAAAAAAAAAAAAATTCTATAAACTGTTCTCTAAATTTTTGTCATTCTAAATTTTATGCTTTTAATTATATTTTTAGCTTATAAATTGTAATTAAATGATAAGAAATCTGTTTCTTAATTAAATAACGAAGATTTATATAAAAATTATTTTTATTTGAGAAACGATCTTATCTATAAGATACATATTTTCCTTAAAATCATTATTATAATTCTTTTTTAGTCAATTCCAATAACATTATTAATATTTGTTTTCAGATGTTCCATCGCAACTTACATTTTTTATTATTCATCGATTTTATTATCGATATTTATTATGTATTTTTAAAGATTAAATTTTTTTTTTTCTTTTGCTTAAGTTTTGCAATTGTTTAAGAAGAAGCTGGATCTTGTCATTTCTTATAATGTAAAAAGTGTTTGATTTTCATATAAAAGAAATTCATCAATTTGCTTAATGCATATGTGATTTGACTCATAATCTAACTTTAGACATGCAATGAAAGAAGAAGAAAAAAAAAAAGTAAATGCACAGCAAGCGCTATTTATGAAATTTTATATACATTTAAGTGAAATTATGTCTTAAAATATTCGTGACAGAAAAATAAATACAGCCATATTACTGCATAATAGCTATATATTTTTCATTTTTCTAATAATCCCAAATAACAATAATACTGCATTAATTCATATTCGTTTATAATAGTCTTAAGAAAAAATAATTACAGAAAGAGACGTTGCTTATGTTCATTAATTATATTGACAATACAAGAAACAATAATATATTTGTTAACGAAACTCTGTATGAAGTATTCCATTAAAAGTAAGGTCATATCGACTGGCTCGTTTAAAATTTATTGCTTTTTACTAAAAATAAAATGATAAAAACGATATTATCCTTCATCTTGAGTTTCTGGAACTAAGTAACGGAATGAAAAAATTCAATGCACAGCGTGTTATAAAGCGTTATAAATTATTTTTGTACTTTTGTCTTTAAATAAGCTTAATGGCACGAAATAATGGAACTGCTGCTCTACAGTTTCTAAAATCAAGCAAGTGCTTACTTCGTATTATAACCATACGACCGACAATTGCTAAATCGATAATCGGTAAAACAGTAGAGAAAAGAAATTGATAAAGGAAAAATAGAAAAAATAGTAAGAACAAAGAAAGACGAAAAAAAGAAGAGAGAGAGAGAGAGAGAGAGAGAGAGAGAGAGAGAAGATGGAAAGAAAAATATTAACATTCTATTGGATAAAAAATCGCTTACAGAGGTGACAGACACGTGTCCCACGAGTTATTGTCATATCAGCTGGCGAGGTCCGAGCTTTTCACATTATAAACACGCATATTCGACGGTAGTAAAGTGTTATGCCGACGACTCAAAGTCGATCGATGGTGCGCGTCAATTTTACCTTATACGTTGACCTTGCGTGCGATGCCGCAGCAGTGGTAGATAACAACTTTGCTCGTTAAAACGTATTTAAATAAAAAGAAAAAAGAAATGAAAAAAGACAGAAAAACAAAAAAATGGACTTATTCGAGCTGTAATTACAAGATTTCATTGTAACGGCTATCCGGCATTTTGTACCGATTAAGACATGGAGCTTGCATGCAATTTAGCTTATTCGTGTGATAATTTAAAGGAAAGTATTATGATGAAGCTATTAGGACGAATGATAATAATGAGAAAAGAAAGACAAAAAATTTAGAGTGATTAGGCGGATAAACCCACGTATGTAAGTATCGATATTATTTGCAATCAAATATGAGACTTAAAAATTGTTGAATTTTTTGAGGAAAATACAAAATTCCGGAACTATATTGGTTTCATTATTAATTTAGATCTGTAATCCATATTCTAAGGGAACATCATTGATATAATAATTATCATTAATTCTCTAAGCACTCACACAAACAACATAAAAATTTTCTTTTTATAAATTTATAATTCGTTTACACGTTCATCTTTTCAAGTTTAAACGAAATAGTTATGTTAATGTATTTGGAACATGACATTTAGTTTTAATTTATTATACGCCAAATAAATAAAATTAGGTACATTAAATAATAATATTATACAAATAATTATAGTTTATATATAATTATATTTATTTTTAAGTAATATAAAATTTTTCATTTTTACTTGCTGAATGCTCATATTTAATTTTATGAAATTTTTTATACAAGCGAATATTATTTACATAGTAATAAAATTGTTGTTGCGCTAAAATTTGCAATAATCTCCTTATTACATTTCTAAGGATAATCTATTATTAAGGTAAATAAATACTCAAGGAATTACTTTATTAGTAACAACAAATAGAATCCAATAAAACATTACATTTTATACTTCAAATTTTATTTAGCTATTGGAATTCTTAAAATGAATTGAGTTGAATTTCTAATTTTATGAAAATATTCATCTGATTTTTTAAAATATTTATAATTAAAAATTTTCTAACAGTCATTTGATAATTAATATTCAATTAATATTACTTGAACGTGAATTTAGGACATTTTATTATTTTATAGAATAATTACAAACCTTAAATGTTATTCAAATTCATATTTGCAATTACTGCATTGATTAACGTTTTCTTTTTTTCTTACTCGATATTTCAAAAATAATGATTTTTGTAATTTCTAATACACTGATTATTTACTAATATAATTGTTAGCTAAATAGCACTTATGCAGGCTGTATACGATGGAATTTAAATGCATTATTATTTTTGTATAAACTTATATATAATGTGTGTACATATTAATATTATTTATTCGTAAAATCACAAATATTTTTTTTACCTAAATATTTGTATCTATATATAGTTAATTGAAAGGAAAACATGAAAATACAAAGATCAATTGAAATTGAAATCCAATAATTAAATAATAATTTATAATTTTTATAAGCACGTACGAATTAATATATGATATTAAAAATGAATATTTAACGTAACTACGGCAATTAACAAACTATTAACATATAAACAAAACTAATTGAAAAATTTAAAAGAATAATTCCTCTTTCATAACTAGTGAATAATGGTTATTCACAAAAAAGAAAACCGGTGATGATATCAATAGTATGCGATCGAATGCGACCAATTGAACTGGAAGAAGCACAGAATTCTGGATTGGCAGTAAAAATGCAAAAGATTTTCAAATCAGCAGAATCCCAGACATCCGACAGAATTTTGTACAGATTGAGAGTTTTTCCAACCCTCAAAGATATAGTCGATGAAAATAAAATCCTTGATCCGAAAAAGTCATCTAGAATATTTCGATATTTTCGATTTCTTGGTCGCATTGCCTTATGTCAATTTGGTAAGTTTTATATTTTACTCATTTCCTTTTTCTATTATAAAATTATATGTCCTTGGTTACTTGTTTTTATTTGTAATTCACGTTTTAATTTTATATTTTTCTATGATCAGATAATATAATAATAATGGTTTGTTCATACGAATGAAGTAAATCTAAAATTAGATAAAATTTTATTTTTCACTCAACCATAGGTAAATGAATTTTAGTGTTTAGTCATTAATTTTAAATACATAATCAACCTACTAATGTCAATATTAAAAATGAAAAAAATTACCAAAAACAATATATTATACATTTGACAATTTATAATTTACATATTTTATGTATTATTTATTCTAACATTTAACAATTAATTTCTTTATTCACTACAGTGTATAATACTTTCAAAATATTAAAGAACACACATCTGAGGTTCATACGTCTCATATACTGAAAAACAATATTATTTATCACTTATGTGCTAAAAATAGCTAAACGTGCGTGCTTACGCACATGAACGTGAAATTATTAAAATGATTCGCTCTAAATAGAAATTTTAATATATTATTTGTAATTCCTTTAAAAATTTATATCCATATTTATACATATATTATAAAGTCTTGAATTTAAAGGCAACAATCAATGCTTATAATTAATAGGGATAAATTTGTGAAATATAAGTTTTCGAAGAATAAACTTTTTTTCTCAAAATTATCTTTCAAATTCCGACAAATTTCACAGGGATTTAAAAGTCAAGTGAAAAATGTTATGTTTCTGTTAAATATCCAGATCAATAATTTAACGATCACCGATATTTCACACATTTGAAACTCAATGAGTTACACTTAATTAAAAAATCTATAAATTGTATTGATTTATGAAAGAAAGAGATACTTAAATGCTTAACTGTTTTTGTATTGTAATTGCATAGTAAAAATTGTTCTATAAGCCAAAGTTGGTCATTGAATTCTTGTAAATGTGAAAGTTTTCACAGTAAAAAAGGCGCCTGAAGGCGTCTTGACGAAAATACCAAATCTTTTACCGTACCGCTAACCTCATCAGGTCTCGCGTGGCTGCTCACACTCTGGACCATCCTCGGAGCAGGCGCTTTCTATATTACGGAGAGTCCACGAGAGCTTCATCAGGTCATCGAGCTCAAGGATATGCAGCGCGACCTGGCCGTTGGCCTTGCGACAGAATTACGACAACTGCGCGCAAACGACGAGGAGACAGAACCTCTGTGGAGCGCTAAAGTGAGGCAGTACGTGGCGAGGCACGAGAAGCTCCTCCTCGTCGCCGTGAGCTCCGGCTACGGCGAGGGCGGTGACAACGGACAGCTTTGGACATTCCCCGGCTGTGTCCTCTTTGCCGTGTCCGTAATCACGACACTCGGTGGGTTCCATTTTATCCAGTTTATCCCTTTAAAAAATCATAACGAGTGAATAATCGAATCGATGATCCTTCGATGATCATCACTCGTTTCTTAATTGCTCGAACAAGCACTCGTGCGCTGCATTTTACACTTGATCCTACGTGCAAGCCTCGAGTCCAAGATTTATACGAGATGTCAAGTATCTCATGATAGATTAAACTTTTCTTATAACAAACAATTTGTTCCTTAATTAATGTTTCCTTAGAAACGTTAAAATATAATTGTCTTGTGAAGTCAAGTGTTATTGACTGGACATTTTCTTGATAGAACGACTGATTGTCCAACGCAATGGTTAATGTAATAATACAACGATGTGGGTAATAATTTTAATTCAACTTCTCGGATTATATCATCGCGCTCTTGCCTTTTTATCAACCTCGCCCAATTATTAAAAATCATTGATCTTTTTATATTGATTAATCAAGGTGATAGAAAGATTCATTAACATTCGTTTGAAAAGGCTTTGGCGCTCCGGTGCCGCGAACAAATGCCGGTCGCACGGTGGCAGTAATATTTGCAGCTATTGGTATTCCCGCCCATTTTCTCCTGATGCTGAACATTGGGCTGCTCCTTGCTGTTGCCCTTAGGAGATACAGCATCGCCAAAAAATATCCGTCCGAGTGTAGAGATTCAACGACAATGGACTCCATACCTATGCCTACGTGGGTGAAAGTCCTACCTTACATCGCAATGGGTAATAATTCTACGTTGCTTTATTTGCTCCAAGAGTACAACGCAAATTCGTTGCAATTTTTTGCGTCACTAATCCAATGAATCAATAACAATTAAACTTTATTTGCGGTTAAATATTATTAACAAACAAAACAAAACAAAACAAAATACGAATCCTACTTTCAGCTCGTTAAATAATTATAAAAATGTTCGTGTAGGACAAGGCACGTAAAGTTTTCTAATATACGAAAAAATTTTTAATTTCCGGATAATTTATATTACAAAATAGAGAAACATTTTGTTAAATGTGAAATTGCAATCAATTTTAATATGCAAGACAATTTCCTTCCACGAGCTAACAAATATATACACAATATTTATCGTTAGCAACTTATCTTGCGCTTATTATTCAATATATCGTTTAGCTATATCAAGGTACCGAAAGTTTTTAAAAATACGCTTAACATTGTAAAATAAAATAAATAATAAATATCATATTTAATATTATAGATATAATTCACAATATCTCAATTTTTCTTCACATTGTTCTCTCAACACTTAACAATTAGATCTTTTATATTAGATCGAGATCCCTACTATTACTGTGCTTCATAATATGCGACGAATTATAATTTTAATTATATTAATTTATGAAGTTTATTAAAGCCATAATCATTGATCACTTCATAAATCACTTTTTCACTCTCGCGCGCGCGCGCATATTCAACTGCTTAAAGCGGAAAAATTTGCATGAAAACCATCGGATCGAGGAGAAAAACAGTTTAAAAAAAAGGAATGAAAACAACCTGCCAACAGGCGCATACTACATTTTGGGCATCCTGTGCTTTGGTGCCGCTCGACTAAAGCCCTTCTCCGAGAGTCTACTTTTCCCCCTGGAGTTCACGGCAGCCGGTGGACTGTCGACGATAGTCGGTTACGTGCGCATACTCTACAGCATTTATCTCGAAGGTGCTGTCACACTCGCTGCAATAGCGGTTGCTGTGCTCAAGGTCTCGGCCACGCAGAGCCTAACCAACATAGGCTTGAAGTACGGGCTGCTTGTGCCTGCATAATCTTGAACTTAAGACAGCGCATCATCGACGAGCGTCGATGGGAGATTTTTCGAGTTGGCGCTCCGTCGAAGAAACGACATCATCGACGGTTGGAGATTACGTTTTTTATAGAATGCGACTGCGAACGACTCGATCGAACGTCCCGATCGAGCTAGTTACGAGTTATTTCACTATTTAATTGTAAATAACGAGTTATTTAATTGTAAATAATTTAAGCGAGTGAATAACGTTGCTCTAACAATGTGTGACAACATTTTAACAGAATTACAAAGAATTATAGTAGCGTAACATTTTTCGAGAAGATCGAGGCTTCCAATATGAAATACTGTGAAGTATATAAAAACTGTTGCTTGGG